AAAAAAAAAAAAAAAAAAAAAAAAAAAAAAAAAAAAAGTAGAAATTAAATTAATATAATGAATATCTTTCAAATCCTCACTAGGTTCTTACTCTATCATGTATTCTGAATAAGCCACTATATTGAATTTCATGCTTATCAATGTATTGGCTTTTCTTTAGTTTTACTATATGTTTGTATTCCCAACATTGCATTGTGTAGTTTTGCATATATTTACATTTTATATAAATGAAATACATGTATTCTCTTTTGTGACTTGCCTCTTTGAATCAACATTATGTTTTTGAGATTTATCCATGTGGTTACAGATCTCAGTGACTTAAGTGCTGATGGCATCACACAGGGCCTGGTAGCCAGGACAAGAACTTAAGATTCTTCTGGGAAACTGGGGAGCTATTGGAGGAATTTTGTTTGTTCATTTTTGTTTTTAAGACAGGCTGGAATGCAGTGGTATGATTATGGCTTACCACAGCCTCAGCCTCCCAGGCTCAAGCAATCTTTCTGCCTCAGCTTCCTGAATAGCTGGGACCACAGGTGCATGCCACCATGCCCAGCTAATTTTTTTTTATTTTTCTTTTTGAGACAGTCTTGCTCTGTCACACAGGCTGGAGTGCCGTGGTGCAATGCGGACTTACTGCAACCTCTGTCTCCTGTTTCAAGCAATTTTCATGCCTTGGCCTCCTGAGTAGCTGGGACTACAGGCACGGGCTACTGCACCTGGCTAATTTTTCTATTTTTAGTAGAGACGGGGTTTCATCATGTTAGCCAGGCTAGTCTTGAACTCCTGGCCTCAAGTCATCCACCCACCTTGGCCTACCAGAGTGCTGGAATTACAGGGGTGGGCCACCGAGCCTGGCCCCAGCTAATTTATTTCTGTATTTTGTAGAGACAGGGTTGCCCCCGATGTTGCCCAGGCTAGTTTTGAACCCTGAGCTCAAGATGACCCTCCTATCTCAGCCTCCCAAAGTGTTGGGATTACAGGTGTGAGCCATTATGCCCGGCCCTGTTGGAGGACTCTGAGCAAAGGCTGACTTGACTTGCAAAGTAAAAGCATCTGTCACACTACTGCGGTGTTAGGAAGAGATTAGGACGGAAGGGTAGAAGCAAGAAGACTCATTAAGGGGCTACTATACAGGTAATCCAAATGAGAGAAGATGGTATTAGAAGTGAAGATGGTAAAAAATGGTCAGATTTGGATACATTCTGAGTAGAGATTTCAAGAGGTTCCTGACGATTTGAATATGAGACGTAAGAGAAGAGAGGGACCAGGATGCCTCTAAGGATTTGGGTCTAAATTGGAAGAACAGAGCTGTCATTAAGCAATAAAGAGAGGCTAAGCGTGGTGGCTGTCTTCTATAATTCTACGAGTTTAGAAGGCCAACGCAGGAGGACTGCTTGAGCCCAGGAGTTTGAGACCAGCCTGAGTAACATAGCGAGACCCTATCTGTACAAAAAAATGTAAAAAATTAGCCAAGTGCTGGGCATGGTGGCTCACACCTGTAATCCCAGCACTTTGGGAGGCCAAGGCAGGCAGATTACCTGAGGTCAAGTGGTCGAGACCAGCCCAGCCAACGTGGTGAAACTCTCTCTCTACTAAAAATAAAAAAAAAATTAGCTAGGTGTGGTGGCAGGTAGCTGTAGCCCCAGCTACTAAGGAGGCTAAGGCTGAAGGATTGCTTGAACTCAGGAGGTGGAGGTTGCAGTGAGCTGAGATTGCACCAGTGCACTCCAGCCTCGGTGACACAGTGAGACTCTTGTCTCAAAAAAATAAAATATAAAAAATTAGCTGGCCATGGTGGCATATGCCTGTGATCTCAGCTACTTGGGAGGCTGAGGCAAGAGGATCGCTTGAGTCCGGGAGGTTGAGGCTGGAGTGAGTTGTAATCCTGCCACTGCACTCCAGCCTGGGTGACAAGCAAGACGCCATTATTCATTCACTCACTCACTCACTCATTCATTCATTCATTAACTCACACATACATACATAAAACAAAAAGGAGATAACTGTAGGTAGAATACGTTGTAAGAAGTCCAGTTTTGGAGATACTGAGTAAGCAATTCCTTATATGAGCCTGGAGTTGGAGCAGGGAAAAAAGCCTAAATTGGAGACAGAAATTTGAAACTAATAAACATAAAAATGGCGTTTAAAGTCATTAGCTGTGTAAGATTACCAAGAAATGGATAAAAACAAAGAAGAGAAGGATAAAAGCCCAAAGCCTAAGCTCTGATGTACCTTAACAATAAGAGAGCTGAGAAAATAATCAAAATCAACAATCTTGTTTGGACCAATGGGGAAAATGTATTAGGAGAGCTTATAGGAATTCCAATCATACACAAAGTAAGTATGTCACCAAAGAGGGAATCTCTAACTCCTGTCAGACATCCAATACATGTGTAAATTGGGTTACAAATTGAGCTTGGATTAAGACAGATTTAATATGATTCAGTGAAACAGAATTATATTACTAGAAAAATAACTCTAGAGTTTAATTACATTGATGGTATGTTTAAAAATCTTATTTACCTGTAAAAGGAAATGTGTTTTTCAACTTATTAAGAAGATCTATAGTTATACACATATGAATACTCACTGGACAAGTTATAATGTTACTTTATATACTAGAAAGATGCTTGCATTATTTTTACCTAATGAGCAGTTGCTTTGCATTCTCCCATCTGTTGAACAACGCAACATGGTGCCAACCACACGGCCTCCCACGACAATGACACGTACATCCCGTCCATGAGACTCCTTAACATACTTCTGGAACAGGTATGGCGCTTCGTGGCGAATAAGATGGCTTAGATCAGCCAAATGGTGCTTATCTCGAGCCAAGAAAACAGCTTTACCTATATGATTTAAAAGAATAAAAGTACACGTTAAGTCATTAATTGTGGGCAGATGATATCTATTATCTGAATATTCTTGTATCCCAATCTGCTCTTTCAGAACCAATTACACTTTATTTATTTTTAAAGTTTTCCTTGTTAGAACTGTTTAACAGTGAAATAGCACAAAAATATATAAAAACAAGGTAAATAATCTCCTTTTATCACTCCTCAAGCTCTTTCATGACAAACTAAAATTTATTTTGATACATGTTGTGAGACAGGGGTCTAGATTTATACTTCTCCAGGTTAGCCAGTAATGTCAACCTTACTCACTAGCAAAATTTTCTCTCTGCATTGAAACATATGTGTGATATATTACTATACAATTTATTAATATATTATATTAGAATATAGCAATATAGCAGTATGTTACTTCAATTTATTTCTGAATTCTCAAGCCTGTTCCACTGCTCTGTTTTTGTGCCAACGGAAGTGGCTGTTTTTAATATATGGTTCTAAATTCCTCCCATGGTAGGGAAGGAAAAGGAGGGATACTAAATCTGTCACTATTGGGTGAATCTAGGAGGGCTTGTGATTGCTCAAAAAAAGACAATATAACAGAAGTAATTCTATTATGACTTCTGAGGGTAGATCATAAAAGTCATTTAGGTTCTTTTTTCACTGTAGCATTCACTGTAGGAGGCCTGAGACTCTCGGCTGCCCTACTGGAGAAGCCAAATATAAAAAATCCAGTCTGTAATCCCAGCACTTTGGGAGGCCAAGGCGGGTGGATCACGAGGTCAAGAGATCGAGACCATCCTGGTCAACATGGTGAAACCCCATCTCTACTTAAAAAACTACAAAAAATTAGCTGGGCATGGTGGCGCGTGCCTGTAATCCCAGCTACTCAGGAGGCTGAGGCAGGAGAATTGCCTGAACCCAGGAGGCAGAGGTTGCAGTGACCCGAGATCGCGCCATTGCACTCCAGCCTGCACAACAAGAGCGAAACTCCATCTCAAAAAAAAAAAAAAAAGAATCCAGTCAACAGTTCCAGCTGAACTCTGATCCAGCTATCCCTGCCAAAACACAAAAGTATGTCACTGTACTCAGATTTATGTATCATTTTATGCCTTAAAATTCTACCTTAGGCTGGGCATGGTGGCTCATGCCTGTAATCCCAGCACTTTGGGAGACTGAGGCGGGTGAATCACCTGAGGTCAGGAGTTCAAGACCAGCCTGGCCAACATGGTGAAATCTCATCTCTACTAAGAATACACACACGGGCGCGCACACACACGCTCAAATTAGCTGAGTGTAGTGGTGGACACCTGTAATCCCAGCTACTTGGGAGGCTGAGGCAGGAAAACTACTTGAACCCTGGAGACAGAGGTTGCAGTGAGCCGAAATAGCGCCACTGCACTACAGCCTGGGCGGCAAGAGCAAAACTTCATCTCAAAGAACGAAAGAAATTCTACCTTAATCCAAAGTCATTAAGATATTTTCATATGCCATCTTACAAAGTTTTGTAGTTTAACCTTATTCATTTAAGTCCTCAAACTACATATATTTAGACGGGGATGACTGGAGTTAGTGATCTAAGATCCTATATTGTTTCTTTGCTTTTTTAGACAGAGACTGGCTCTATCGCCCAGGCAGGAGTACAGAGGCGTGATCTCAGCTCACTGCAACCTCTGCCTCCTGGATCCAAGCAATTCTCCTACCTCTGAGTAGCTGAGATTACAGGCATATGCCACCATGTCTGGCTAATTTTTGTATTTTTAGTATAGATGAGGTTTCACCACATTGGCCAGCTGGTCTTGAACTCCTGACCTCAGGTGGTCTGCTGGTGTCAGCCTCCCAAAGTGCTGGAATTACAGGGGGTACTTACATTGCTGAGGAGGAAGATACAGACATTAACTTGAGACTCAGTCTAAGTATGTATGTTAAAATCTGTAGGTAACCACTAAACAGAAATAGCTTCTAATCAAACTGAACAACTCATAGTAGCCTTTTGTAAGCCTGAAGTATCATGCACCTAACAATTTCCCTCTAAGTATTCTTCAAAGTCACTCATATTAATAAGTATAATTTCAAAACTATATACGTTATCAATAACTCATACCCACCTCTATGACCCCGCGTATTCTTTACTACCATTGGGAACTCCAGTACTTCTGCTTCATCAATCATTTTAGCAAAATTTTCATGGCCACCTGGTTTAAGCAATAAAAAAATTTAAGAAAAACAGCAGAAGCATTTTGTAATCATTTTTATCTGAAAATCACTTCTATAAGATATTCCTTCCTGCCTGTAAATTTATCCTATTAAACTATGAGTGGTTAACCATTTAGGCTATGCATGCTTCTTAGTGGGCTCACCATAAGAGAAAGTGTCTGGCAGAGGAACACCACGGCCAGCCAACTCTTGAAATGTCCAGAACTTATTAACGCAGTTCAGGATGGCTTGAGGTCGGTTCATCAACCGGCATCCCATCTTCTCTAGATGGCGCAAAACAGTAATGTCACTATCACTTTGCACCCACGGGGTTGGTACTCTGACTACTACAACTTGTGGGTAGGCAGTGATTAGCTCTCCATTGATCCGTAGACCTGAAATATATAAAAACAAGGCCAAAACCATTAGAGGAAAATAGAGCTACAGTAATATGCCAAAGTTTGTATCACAAAGTTAAATGAACTATTTTATTAATATTAAATTTGGATAGAGATATTCCTCCGTAAGAAACAAGGAAAATTAGAAAAATATTTGCAGTGATTAAACTATAGTACCCACTAGAATGAATTAGCACATAGCCATTAAAAATAATGTCATAAACATGTAAGTTCAGAGACAAACAAATGCCCAGATACATAATATCGAGTTTTTATTTTAAACAGCAAATCTGACAAAAAGTTTTATTTGTGCATACATATAAAAGATATCTAAGCAGGTGGGCACAGTGGCTCATGTCTGTAATCCCAGCACTTTGAGAGGCTAAGGCAGATGGATCACAAGATCAAGAGATCGAGACCACCCTGGCCAACATGGTGAAACCTGTCTCTACTGAAAATACAAAAAATTAGCTGAGCGTGGTGGCAAGTGCCTGTAATCCCAGCTACTCGAGAGGCTGAGGCAGAAGAATCGCTTGAACTTGAGAGGCGGAGGCTGCAGTGAGCCGAGATCATGCCACTACAGTCCTAGCCTGGCGACAGAGTGACACTCTGTCTCAAAGGAAAAAAAAAGGAAAAAAAAAACACAAATATTTAAGCAGTTTAATGATTTAACTGGCTTCCGCTGAATGTGACTGGGTGGCAAGGCAGGAAGAGGAAGGTTGAAGATGGAACGTTAATATTGTGTTCCATGCAATTCTCCATCTATATTATGTTCTATTTTTTTAAGTGACAATATATGTCTCTATAATGAAAAAACACAATTTTTTAAAAGAAATGTTTTGCAAACTTTTATCCAGGTACCTGCCATGATGCCCAGCTATTTTTCTTTAATTTTTAGTAGAGACAGAGTTTCATCACATTGGCCAGGCTCTTCTTGAACCCCTGACCTCAGTTAATCTGCTTCCCTTGGCCTCCCAAAGTGCTGGGATTACAGGTGTGAGCCACCACACCCAGCACTTGGCTAATTTTTTACATTTTTTTGTTACAGGGTCTCGCTATGTTACTCAGGCTGGTCTCAAACTCCTGGGCTCAAGCAGTCCTCCTGCGTTGGCCTTCTAAACTCGTAGAATTATAGAAGACAGCCACCACGCTTAGCCTCTCTTTATTGCTTAATGACAGCTCTGTTCTTCCAATTTAGACCCAAATCCTTAGAGGCATCCTGGTCCCTCTCTTCTCTTACGTCTCATATTCAAATCGTCAGGAACCTCTTGAAATCTCTACTCAGAATGTATCCAAATCTGACCATTTTTTACCATCTTCACTTCTAATACCATCTTCTCTCATTTGGATTACCTGTATAGTAGCCCCTTAATGGGTCTTCTTGCTTCTACCCTTCCGTCCTAATCTCTTCCTAACACCGCAGTAGTGTGACAGATGCTTTTACTTTGCAAGTCAAGTCAGCCTTTGCTCAGAGTCCTCCAACAGGGCCGGGCATAATGGCTCACACCTGTAATCCCAACACTTTGGGAGGCTGAGATAGGAGGGTCATCTTGAGCTCAGGGTTCAAAACTAGCCTGGGCAACATCGGGGGCAACTCTGTCTCTACAAAATACAGAAATAAATTAGCTGGGGCCAGGCTCGGTGGCCCACCCCTGTAATTCCAGCACTCTGGTAGGCCAAGGTGGGTGGATGACTTGAGGCCAGGAGTTCAAGACTAGCCTGGCTAACATGGTGAAACCCCGTCTCTACTAAAAATAGAAAAATTAGCCAGGTGCAGTGGCCTGTGCCTATAGTCCCAGCTACTCAGGAGGCCGAGGCATGAAAATCATTTGAACTAGGAACAGAGGTTGCAGTGAGTCCACGTTGCATCCACTCCAGTTTGTGCGACAGAGCAAGACTGTCTCAAAAAGAAAAATAAAAAAAAATTAGCTGGGCATGGTGGCATGCACCTGTGGTCCCAGCTGCCTCAGGAAGCTGAGGCAGAAAGATTGCTTGAGCCTGGGAGGCTGAGGCTGCAGTGAGCCATAATCATACCACTGCATTCCAGCCTGTCTCAAAAACAAAAATGAACAAACAAAATTCCTCCAATAGCTCCCCAGTTTCCCAGAAGAATCTTAAGTTCTTGTCCTGGCTACCAGGCCCTAGGTGATGTCATCCCTACTTATCTCTCTGAGATCTATAACCACATGGATGAATCGCAAAAACATGTTGATTTAAAAACACATGTCACAAAAGAGACTTGTACAATGTAAATTGTCGAGAAAAAGTTCAACCGTTATTGCTCTGTCATTATGCTAAACTGGAAGCAGCTTTTGCTCTTTTTAAAAAATGGGATAAAGAAAGCAAAAAAAAAACTGTTCCACTCTCCAGTGTTAACAGCCTGTCTGTTGCCACCAGAAAATGGGAGTACTCTACCCAAAGCATAGTCGGACCTGCACAGTGCACTGTGGAGGTATTAATGAGGATGGAAAGAAATTCAATGCCTCCTGAAACAAACACTTGATGTTATTCTAAGAAAGCAGAAGTGATCCAAGGCTGGAAAGATGAATGTGGGCCAAAAAGGCAAAGTGACATCTCTTAGGGCTCTGCCTTACGAGCTACTGATCTCTTGAGCACTCACCAAGTATCACCCGTGCCTTTGATGCAGAGCTTATAAACGGAAATAAAAGGAATGGTTTCTTCCCTTCATTTCACGTTATTCAGTATACAAACGCACGTAATTGTTCGAAGAACCTTACCCACAATTCCACTACTTATTGTAAAAACATGTATTCCAACTGAATGTGCTTTGTTTTCAACCCCATTGCCTCTAATGTATAAATATTATTTTAATTCCTTAAAACCCCAACTTATACAATTTTTCATCTAGCTTGTTAACACTGAAATTAAGATTTTAGTACAGATGTTCTAGATATAAGTTTCGGATCAAGTGTATAATAAAGTGCTAACATAACAATTTAAATAAGCTAACCTTAGAACAGCAATGGGGTGGGGAAGCAATCTTTGTTCCTTTTTTGTTCATTAGGATATAAAAGGTATTTCATGTTAAAAGGTTGCTGCTGTTGTCAAGGCAGAGTGACACGGTATTAAGGACTGATTAATACCCTTATCTGAATACTGCTGTAGTATTACTATATTATAGTAATACAGTAAGAGTACAGTATTAAAAGTATTATACTCTTAATAGTAAGTACTAGTAGTGGTTTTTTCCCTCAGGAATCAAGGAACAGACAAATGCTGGTCTTTTTGCTGACATTTACTTTTATTTCATCCTCAAGTGTTCCAGATGATTTTTTAGGGCTTCTGAAATCTTTTTTTTTTTTTTTTTTTTTTTTTTTTTTTTTTTTTTTTTTTTTTTTT